AAAATTTGCCCTGACCCGGGGGTCATTAATTTTCCATATATGTGTAAAGCAAAAACTTTAAATTAAAAATTCTTTGAAAAAAAAACCCAAATAGCTAGAGTTTAAATACTAAGCATGAAACATCTTCTAGTAAGTGTCTACAATGGTTTTTCAAATAAAAGCCCTTGGGTCAAAATTGGCCCTGCCCTTGGGGTCATTGATTTTATTTATGTCTATAGCAAAAACTTATAAATTCTTCTTTGAAAAAAAAAACCAAATAGCTAGAGTTAAGATATTTAGCATGAAACATCTTCCAGTTTGTGTCTTCAAATTTTATTCAAATAAAGTCCTAGGGTCAAAATTGGCCCTGCTCCGGGGGACATTGATTTTCCTTATATGTGTATAGCAAAAACTTAAAAATCTTCTTTAAAAAAACCAGAATAGCTAGACTTTAGATATCAAGCATGAAACATCTTCTAGTGAGTGTCTCCAAAGTTTGTTCAAATAAAAGCCCTGGGGTCAAAACTGGCCCCGCCCTAGGGGTTTCATTGCTTTTAACTATATGTGTATAGTTAAAACTTAAAAAATCTTTTTTTTAAAAAACTCAACGAGCTAGTCCTTAGATGTTGAGCGTGAAATATCTTTTAATGGGTGTCTACCAAGTTTGTTCAAATAAAAGCCCTGGGGTTTAAACTGGCTCCGCCCTGGGGGCCTATATACAGGTGAGCGACTTCAGGGCCATCATGGCCCTCTTGTTTGTTTTACGTGCTATTTTAATATTAAGTACTTACGTTTAATACTTTTTTTATTTAAATTTTAAAACAAATTTTAAGACTTAAATTGTCATATTGATTGACGATTATAAGTCAAAAAAGAACTGGAAAAGTCAGTAAATTATTGTTAATCTTTCAATATACTATATAGTTTATTCTTAAACCATGTACATTTGTATTTTTCTTTATCATTTTTTAAATTGTCAATCAATTAAATAATTCATAAAAATTCAAATTTGTAACTTAGAATAATTCCTAAGCATCTTTACTAAACACGAATAAGAAATTAAATAAAATGTTTCAAAGTTGATGGTGTCATATTAATACCATAAAAAATCGCCGGTCTCTAGTAAATGCCGGTCAATATAGACCGATAGCAGACTGGCGAATAGTACATCCGTCTATAAATAGATATTCGGAAGGTCATCACTCTATTTACAGCTTTCGGATGCATGTACAACAATAACATACCATGTACTACAATATGATTAATAAAAAACCGTAGAGCGCAAGTAATAGAGCGCGATTAATTGAGGGAAGATTATTATTTCATTTGAATATGTTTGCATTGCGAACTTCTCCAGTTTGCTATTCATTTTTAATAATCAAAACACCCTCCAATCGGAACGATCGGCTATTATGACCGACAAAAGGCCAGAGAAGATGCAATTGCCCTTTCACAAAATCTGATTACATTCCATAAGAGGCGCCGCGCTTCGGCGCGGACGCCAATAATGTGTTCAGCTTATGAATCCAGTATGATCCTTGTAATAAGCGTTCCATATCATCGGTGACAATCTCTATAGGCATAAATTTAAAATACTTAATACAATGATTGGTTTTATTAAAGTGTGTAGCGACATTGGTCGAAAATAACGGATCGGAAAAATTGTTGATATCAAACCCATGGCTATTCATGCGTTTAGACACTTGTTGCTTCGTTTGACCAACATATTGCTCTTTACATTTATCACAAGTGACAATATATATAACATTTTTCGTAGAACAATCAGTATTGTCATTAACATGATAATTCTTATTAGGAATATTTGTACTACTAAATATATTGCTTTCAATAATGGAGCTGCAATGTGTACATCTACTTCTTTTACATTTGGATGAACGTTTCGCAATTTTGTTATTAGACCTAATATTAGAATTAACGAGAATGTCTTTTAGATTTTTAAGACTTTTAAATGCAACCACAGGTTTACTGTCATGAAGCTTTTGCACAGAACATTTACTTGAAAGTTTAAGTAAATCCCAATACTTTTAATGATATTACTAATATTAGGTAAAGTTGGGTTATACTCAACAACAAAGGGAATAATTCTGCAATCACTTGTTTTGTTGTTAGTACACAGGGCCTCATAGACATGAAACCTTACTAAGTGCATTATCAATAACATTGTAAGGATAATTTCTTTCCTTGAAGTATGTACGTAAATTCTGTAAAGAATGATTGAAAACATTATCGTCAGAAATGATACGGCGATAACGTTTTCCTTGACTGTACGGAATACCATTTTTACAAGACACTGGATGACAGGAAGTGTATTCTTAATACTGGTGATTATCTGTCTCTTTAACATGTATATCAATGTGAATAATATGTCTAATTAAACGTTTACATCAATAAAATGATACGAGAGATTTAGAAACGTTCGCTGTAAATTTTATAGATGTATGAAAGTTATTCAACTATCAATAAAAGCATTCAAATCATCAAGAAAATAACTCAATATACAAAATATATCGTCAAGAAAACGGAACCATAGACTAGGTTTTAAAAAACGTTGGCTTAAAAGTCATTTTCAAATGTACCAATTAAAAGCGAAGCGTAAGAGGGTGCCATAGAACTTCCCATTGCTGTTCCCATTTTTTTGTGTATAATGATCACCGTTGAATTGAAAGTTATTATTTTCTAGGACTAAGGAAAAAAGTTTAAATATTTCATTACATGAACGTTTTTTTTTGGGGGGGGGGGGGATTTCTCTCTAAAACATGTGTGCAAGACTCTACTCCGTCTGTATGGGGAATGTTCGTATATAGAGATATAGCATCTAACGTAACAAGGTAATGTTCTCCCGACCCAAGGGAAGTGGCTTTTAGTTTGGCAATAAAATCAGAAGTGTCCCTGATATACGAAGGTATATTATGTGTTAATGGCTTTAAAATGGAATGTAGGTACATAGAAATATTTTCTGTTCTTGATTTACAACCGGAAACGATCAGACGTCCAGGATAACCTAAAGGGTACAGTTCACTATACTGCTTATGAATTTTAGGAAGGATATAAAAGCCGGGAGTACGTACATCTGACGGATGTATATATATTCTTTTATATCAATATTATAATTGCACATTTACAGATAGAAAAAGAACAATATAATATTTTGTTATCTGAAATGTATGATATTCTCTGATATACATCGCAATTTATATGTCTATCGATTATTTGAAGTGTAATCAATAACTCACATGTTTAAGAATAAGGTGTATTGAGATAAACCTATTGAAACGAATGTTGCTTACACATGACCAAAACCTTGTGATAAGACACACAAATCTTTTTATACGAAGATGCAAACCACTTAAGTTGAAAGTGAAAGATACAGAATGGCGGATTCTATTAGACCATAACCACATTTTTCGTTTAGAAAAATATGCATCGCATGACAACATGTAAATGAAAAACATTCTTTAAAACACGTTTAAATAAAATGTCATGATGCACGGCCTCTAAACACATATTGTATTTAACAAAATCAAATTTCAAGGCTCAGGATTCTATCAGACCCAAATTTATAATATCCAAAGCATAAATATCTCCTAGCATCACAATTGTTCCTGTAGAAAAAAATATAATACAACTAATAAACTATCTGAGTCAAAACTGATTCCGCCAAATATTTAAATAGATAAGATTAAAAAATAATAAAAAAAACTACAAAAATAAATAAGCAGTCAAACAATTGCGGGAAACTTCAATACACAGATCTTTGACATTTGGCATTGAAATCTTTAACCTCAACTAAAGTTATATGATAACTTATTATTATAAAGTTATACAGTGAAATTTGAGAAAACCGGACGCTGAGAAAATCGGAACTCTCTAAATACTGGACGAATAATTCAGTCCCAAATTTTACCTTCTTTAATCTATTGTATTAAACATTGACAAAACCGGAATCTGTAAAAACCGAATATCGGACGGTTGATTGGGGACTACAAAGTCAATTATATAGACAATTACCCAGACAATACCGGACGCCGAATGTGTGAATAACCTTGTGTACTTATCAATTGGCTAATACGTTAATTGAGCGGTAACGGAACAATGATTGTCTGATTTTTTTTTCTTATGTCTCTTTTCACAGTTTGATTTATTGTAAGATATAGATGTTACCGTTTTATATAAATGCCAACGGAAACGACATTTTTTTCGGCGCTAAGTTCTATTCCATGGCCGAAAAGAATTCGACGAGAGCTGTCTACAAGTGACAAAGTTAAATTAATTAATGACAGTGAAACTTTGCCGAGACCTACTTTAAAAATCTGACCAATATGATATTATTATAAACAAACAAAGTAAACTATGTTCGTTAAATCATTACCCATTACCCAAATGTAAACGTATGCGGATGTACTCGGACTTGATCGTTATGAGGTAACTTCTGTTCATTTAAATCCAAACTTTAATTGTATTTATATGCAATAATTGGACTAAAACAATTAAAACATATGTTCATGTATTTTTATCATTCCTCTGTAAGTCATTGCTCGGTTATAATATAAGATCCTGAATATCTGAAGGGGACATTGAGAATACCGGACCGCTGAGAAAACCGGACAAAACCCTCAGTCCGAAAGCCGTCCGGTTTTCTCAACTTTCACTGTACATTATTTTCAGTAACTTAAACAAATTTGCATGTTCTTGTGGTGTTTTTGTTCTCATTATTATTTAAAGGACCATATTTAGATTTAGACAAAGTAACCCATATTTCATCACGAAACCAAACGTGAACAGTCACGAAAATATAGTAGATATTCGAGTTTTACAGTAACTATCAGCGTTCTTACTGAAGATGCTTTTTAACATAAAAATAAAAACTATATTAAAATACTTTCTTTATATTTTTTAAAAATGCTTCTCATATTTTACACAATTGTTTATAAATATTTTCTTTCTAAACTGCAATTGTAGAATGATGATGCTTACAAGAATAACGAGGACAACGCTAATATACTGGGGGTGAAGGGATTGATGAAAACAGGGACAAGGATGATACAGACAGTGAAGATAATGAGCTAGAGAATTACACAGATAGTGAAGAGAATAACACAGACGCAGAGAGTATTGAGAATTACACAGATAGTGACGAGAATAACACAGACGCAGAGAGTATAGAGAATGAAGAGACTGACACAGATAGTGAAGAGAACTACAAAGAACTTCTTATTGAGGTTGGAAAGTTAATATATATTGATATATTATTCGAATTCCTTAATTTTAAATATAAAAAAGAGAAAGAAGTAAAGAGATAAAGAATAAAACTAACAAAAGGTGCACAATATAAGATACTTAGATCATAAACATGTATTTGCCAGCGAATTGACTTATATCTAGTTTATACGATAACAATCACAACTCTTCCCTTATTGATTTATAATTGAATACATTTTCATATTTGACGTCAAAAGTTTCTACTGCATCTAACATTATATCATATGTTAGCTATCATGTTAAAAGTAACATGCCTCAAATGACTTTTTGTCACAGTCGTTTTTTGTGTAAACCCCTCTAATAACATGCTTATTTTCAGCGTAAAATAGTTACAAACCTATGATTTTAAGGTAATAAAAAGAAAAAAGCGAAGTGAAATTGTATGATATCAGTTGATGAGCTATGCGTCTTTTCTGTCCCGAAGAAACACACTAAGCGTCCGATGTGCATAGTCCAAAAGTACTTTTGGTAGTTAAAGTACATATGCAACTTACCTGATGAACTAATTGACCCTGTCTGGTGGTGTTATTTTTGGTGCTTTAAATATGCTAATGAATACTTAGATCACGTTTATTATAGAGAAGAAACAATGAAAACCTTAACGACCAAAATGGCAAAAAAACTGAAAAGCTTGCAGGTTATGTCCTGTTCTTGCACGTAAAACATTAGTGGTTACTAAAGACTATCGTCAAAGCTACCTAGAATAGACTTAAACAGAAGTTAAAATGCTTCTGTATTAATTGATATGCAAATGAGAATAACACAGACTATTCTTTATTTTCAATTGGAAGTAATTTCATGTCATATGTTATTTCAAAGTGCCTAAGGTTGGGACAGGGAGGCGATGATTTAAAAACCTTCCTTGAAAAGTCAAACAACGAACAGAACATTGGAGATGATGAAGATGGAAATAATGTTTTACACATTGCTGCAAGTGGAGATGATTTGGATTTATTCGAAGTTTTACTTCATTATTATGAGGACAAGATTGATGAAGGAAACAAGAAGAAAAGAACACCTCTACATATAGCAGCAAGGAATAACAAACATGAGATTGTAAACTTTCTAATTGAACGGTATGCTTGATTTATTTTCATTTCATTAAAAAAAATTAAATAAGTGTAAAGAAAATAATACACATATGAAGGACCCCTAATATATCCAGTGGTACAGACTACCAGACAAGCGCCATACAAGGTCCTAACTTGAAACTACAAACATGGCGCAAACGCTGGAAGGGGTAGGCACCCAAACGTACCTGTTTAAGTTTATTTAAGCTTAAATATATGTGTAATTTTAATTGAAGTCTTATACGAGTATATGCCAATCAATTATATTAATTTTTATTGTTTGTTTCAATCGCAAAGGTCAACGAACCTATCAGTATATTGCTTATATATTCTAAAAGATACATTCTTGCGTAATTCAAAGGTCAATTGTGGTACAAACGGTTTTAAGATATGATGGCCTTTGTGTGTCTGTTTGTATAGTTATAAGAAGACATTTTGCACTTATAAGAAGAAATTGTTGCACTCCTGAAGGGTGAGAAACGGCACAAAATACAGCATAACTTCATTACAATTTACTTAAGGGTACAGAAAAGGTAAACCTATATATTCCCGTATCATTAACAATTAGTTTAGTTTATTCTGAAAAATATTTGATTGTCGTAATGCATAAACGCCACAAAATGTAATATTTTAAACCTTCATTTTGTGGAAAAGACCCTCATACCCAAAACGCCATCGTTAGTAATAATTTCAACTTGTACACGATCCTGAACTCATGCGTAGTCAACAATAATAACCTTAAAATTCTTGACCCGCTCTTGTATAAGGTGAATGGAATGGGGGGACGTCGTTGTACATGGTTCAGTGAGCAATACTCGGTAGAAACACAACTTCTTTACAAGAGCTGTTCAATTATATCTAAAATTAAGACTTTGCAATAAATAAATTAATTTCACTTGTTTTAGATCGGAACATCTATGTAGCTACCAAAATCGTTGTCTCCCAAAAGGGAGAGTTGTACTGTTAACAACTTTGACAGGTTTTTCATCCGGTATTTTGCAGATATATATTGACGGGTACTTTAAACCACAAGTTAATTATGACCGTAGTTCTCTCACTTAATTTACAAAGTTGCACAACCGAGCCGGGAACATTTTCAATGTCGTCGTTTTGCTCTTTTTCTTGGGGATATGTTTTATTTGATAAATTAATCAAAACAGAAGTAAATCATTGTGTATTAATCTTTATTATCAATCACTTTAACAGAGCATTCGGAACACCTCGCGTTGATCATTTTTAAACTTCTCGGAGATACTACGGATTAAAAGTATTTTTATCATGTGACATTAGATGATTAAAATTAATGGTGTTGTCTTCGTATACTGAGTAAGGGGGTATTTATTTGACATTGAATATACTCTTTTTTGTATTAGCATGCTTAAAAATTATATTTGACAAACAGAATCAATTAAAGCATGCCTATTTGGATACTTTTATAACTCAATCCGAAATATCGTCAACAAGTGCTAGTAAATGTACAAGTAATTTTAACTTTCGGTTTCTGATATAATAGTCCTCACAAACTTCTCAAATGGCTTAAGTGTGAATACTGTCGGTTTCATTGAGTTTGGTCATAGAACTGATAAAACTTAGCTATTGGCCACGCGCTTAGCACCTGAAGAAGCAGTTTTGGACATATTGACAAGTTGATGCCATTCCATGAAAAACAGTATGTCGTCCCCGCAGTAAAAAAACGAGTGTGATCTAAACGAGAAAACAATGGGCAAACAAACTCAGAAAAATGGAATGAAATGGAATCAGAGGTTACCGTCCAAAGCCGCGTAGGAATACGAGGAAATGAAAATTAAGATATTTTGGCTGAAGACTCATTTAGGTATTACCACCCTAATTGGCACTATAAGGAACTAAAATTGACATCATAGGTCAGATATTTACCTTAAAGTACACCTGTATGCAAAATTTAAACAAAGTTTACCGTACGGAAATCAAGTTATGGCCACTTTTCTGAACTCAAGCTAGGATGATATGAGGGCCCTTTTGAGAAATGAGGTACCTTTAAATAATCTGCAATAACATTCTAATGAAAAATGTTTTCCCATTAATTTTTGGTAAGAAACAAATAGTACCATTCAGCTAACAATCCACATAAGCAAAATTATGGTTTCTACTTTTTTATGAAATCTGTATAAAAATGTTACCCTACCTCACCCATTTTTACCACGTGTCTGACCATTTTCCTACTTAGGGAGCTTAATTAAAAAAAATCCTTAAAATTTACCCAAATGAGTGCCTGTTTTCAAAGTTTCCCTAAATTTTTAAAGAAGTATATTGGTTGATCTTGTAAAATATGAAATACTTTTACCGTCTAGTTTTGATTTTACTACACTTTGAAAATATCAGGTACCATATTTATTACTAGATTTTATCATAATTTACCAATTAATACCTATATAAATTTAAAAAATCAAAATTAAACTTTTTTCTTTTCCAAATGGGACATGAGAGATACATAAATAATGTTAAAAGAAAAAAAAGAAAGAAAAAAAGTTGATTCTTCTGGGGATTGAACCCACGGTCCTCATTTTCAATATAGTTAACAGTAGTTCTAGCCTATTTGAATACTCTTCAAAGCGGAGGTAATGCATTAGGCTGGTAATACCTTAAATACTTAAACAGTAGACTGTTTGTTACTAACTACTTATAGTGATTTTATACATTTCATTAGTAAATTCATATAATATGAATGGGTACAAATATGGACAAAGCCGTATTTAACTTATTGATATCAACCTAGGCCTTGATGAATTACCATCTACTCCAAAAAGAAAGAGTACAAGAAAAAAAATAAATAAAAGAAAACCATATAATATCCATAAATATAATACAAAACGAGACCAAAAAGTGTTCTATGCTGCTTAACATCCGTGTTCTCATTGTTGCAAATACTCGGCTATTTTCCATTTAAATACATGAATACTGGATAAATATAGAACAAAAAAAAATGACATTGACAATGTTTAGCCTCGAACATACCTCTCTTGACAATCACTTAACAGACTGTGCTATTATGAATGTGATGACGATCTTGACATTAATCTTGTTTGACTTTTTAAAACATTATTTATATATTCAATATTAATGGTCGTAAATAACACTGGCAGTACTGAAGCGGGTTTAAATAAAACTTTTATTGTAATAATGTATTCACAATTGACAGGTCAGATAAATCAGGCTACTGTATAGGCTAGAATAGAATAGAATTATTTCCAATCATGGGCCTTCTCAGCATACAATTACATAGAATATATATCAGTACATTAAATGTAAATGTACATAAATAAAACAATAAGATGTCATAAGCTAATTCTGATTTGATAACACAATTAAAAAAGTACTAGTAACTATATGCAATTAACAAAGGCATTTTAAATGACAACACATAAAAGAAATAGAATTTGTAAAAAAAGCCTCATCAAATAACTAACCCACAATATCTTTGGAAATGCACAAAAGTGACATTGACAAAGACTAATGATGTTAATAAATAACTATAATTACTAATTAAGGATAGAAGTTCTATTTATTGTTGTACTGTATAAATGTGCTTGACTAAATTGACCATTTATACAATCAGCTATTGGCCTATAAGTGCATATTAACATGTTTTACAAGTGCATATTAACATGTTTTACACACATTTGAAGGTATTTCACCCTCAAATTCCTGCTCAGTGATACATACATAGAACACTAGTATGTGGGAAAGATACTTCTATAGCCTTTACTATGTAGATTGGAAAATAATCTCACAATGATTTGACATTTTTAAGTTGTTGTAATTGCAAGTTATCGTATGTTATAACACTGCCATATATAAGATGCAGTAAGTTCAATAAACTTTTCATTTTCATTGTTGAGCAAAAATATAAATTGATCTTTACAATTGAGAGTAGTATTAAATTTTTACATAAATCAGCACATTCTTTAAGGAAAATGCTTACTCCCCGGGGTAATAATATCAGGAGCAGGTTAAGAGTACTTCCACAAAACAAAAAATAAATAGAAAAACTAAATGACTTGGGTTGCTGTTGTTGTCGTGCCTTGTAAAATAAAATTACAACTTGCTTTGTTCTTGTTAGATAGATAGATAGATTTATTTCGACATAAAGGTAAACATGTTACACAATAAACAAACACAATATAGATTAAAACAATTACAAATAAATGAATAAATAAATAAATAAATGAATAAATACTATATTATGTAAACCGTGACATGTTCCCAAAACCAAGGATAACACAAAACAGAGCAAGCTCTTATTTCCATTGTGGTCCTTAGCATTTGGTGGCATGACATAGAGAGGTATTTCATAAAAGAAAAAATATATATCACAAATTATAAGATAAATCACATTAATGAAGGATATTTTTTAAAATTATCACAATTTAAGATGTAAGGTAATGTAAATAAAAAGTCAGTATCACATTAAGAAATAATTATGTGCATATTAAGAAAAGATTACATTAAAAAAATTATCACAGTTGTTATGAGTATGTAAGGAAAGAACATGCCATAGATTACGCTATTCAAAAAAGATAAAGTTTTTAAAGTCTTAATCAAAAATTTAAAACAAATTTCAAAAAATGAAACAGTAAACCTGAGCCGAAAAATAATTCAATAAAAAAATGAAAACATAAAATTTTCTTGCAAGAAATTTTAAGAAAAACACTAACATGCTACTTAAAAAGTGACTTTAGATGGCTACCTTAAAACGATGAAATTTGTTAATTTCAGTTATACAAGTTGGAAGACTGTTCCATAGTTTAGCACCAATAAAACTAAAAGACTTTGACCCGGAACCTTTAACCTTAGAAAGGCAATACCCTCCTTTTTTACTCAGTCTGGTGCAATAAGAATGCATAGATTCCCGAGAAACAAAATAATCACTTAAGTACTCTGGGGCCATTTGGATTTTAATCTTAAAAACGTGACATAACATGATTTGCTCAACTCTTTTACAAACTGGTAACCAATTAAGGGATTTA